CTTACTAGAGATTCAAAACAAAACTCTTGGAAAACAATCCATTTAACAATCAACCATAGTCATGATATCACTGCTGTTTCTTTGTCCCTTGGAGACACCTTAACCTTTCTATGATGTCAGAAACAAAGGATTATGACTTTAAACGGGGAATAACCAGCTGGGGAAAATGAAGTTGTTCAAAGACTCCTACACATCTTGAGGCTGCATAAGAGGACAGGCACACATGTGTGGCAGCACAGGCCCCCGATGTGAATGGCCCCATCGTGTTTTCCTACAGCCTCCCTGGGCCATGCTGGGCTTTTCTTGGCATCTGCCCTGCATGGTTCTCAGTGTGTTAGCAGCATTCTTTGCTCTGGCAGCATATCCTTGGGAGTTTGCTTGGCTGTGTTTAGACTTTTTTTTTTAAAGATTCAGTGAGGTTCTGCTGTGTCTATCATCTTTGGGGTAAGCAAGTCATTCCCTTCCCCTTTCAGCTCCAGTTACCTCTGCAGAACCCTCCCAGCTCCTAGTGTCAGACAGGAGACCTGGAATCAAGACTGTCTGTCTCTTAGTTGGTGTTTTAATCTACTGCCTTGTAGGGCTGCCCAGGAGTTAAAAGCAACATGGAAAAGATAAAAGCTCTCGGTTGACAATAGCAAGGGAATGTGACGAGTACAGCAGGCTCTCAAAAAACACTAAGTTGGGGACATTATACCATTCCTCCCATAACACAGGAGACTGAAATTTTTCTGCCTATCAATTTCATTCACAGCCAGTCACCGTGACCTTATATCATTCCTCACATGTGCCAAGCTGCGTAACTTGAGGTTCTAGGCAAGATCATCCCACAAAATCCACAAGCCCCATGCACTTGGCCCTACCTGGACCCTTCTTGATGATTCAGTCAGAAGGAGCCAAGTATCTAATGCAGAAAGTTTAGAAAACAAAGCTGCATAGGAAAGCTTGCATTTCTATTCTGACTGAAGTTTTCTACTTGAAAAGTGGACATACTTTCTGCTTTTCTTTGGAGTTGACTGATTTTCACTAAACTTAGTAGACAGCACTTTCTATTTATTATCTTGAAAAATAAGAGGGGTGGTCAAAGTTTGAAATGAACTGATGTTTTTTTATGACTGTGCTTCATGAAGCTTTAGTGGGACTGACACAGTATTAATGTTGACAAGAGTAAAAATTCTATTTTCTCTATTAAGTGATCTAAAACTGCAAACAACTTGAAACATTATCTCTATTTGCATGTGGCACATTATGCGTACAGGCAGGCAGTAGAGCTTACAGATGAAGAGCCTGGGCCCTGAAGTCAGCCGGTCTGACCCCGGTCTGACCCTGGCTCCCCCACAGGCTTGGGAAAGTTACTTAATGCTTTATACTCAGCCACAGAGGTGATGTCTCCTCACTTGTAGGATGGATGGAACAACTCTATGCACCTAAGAGGGATGTTGTGGGGTAGACTAAAAAGTGGGCCGCTGTAAAATGCAGACTGGACTGTAAGTGAACAGCCTACTTTATGTGCTGCTTAAGATGACTGCAATTTGTTTGCATTCGCTGAGTCAGGGAAGGCAGAGTTTAGGAAGAGATGCCCCCGTAGAGATCACCCTGGGATTGTTTGCCAAGAAAAATGCACATGCATATAATCTCGATCATTCTAATAATTACTCTTGGATATACTGACTCAGAGAAAGGCTTGCTATGCTATTAGAACTTTCCTTTTCTAATACCTGAATCTCAGCTTCCACATTTCTACTCCTGAGTCCTTACAAATGAGGTCAGAAATCAAGGCAGTTTGACCTAAGTTAGGCAAGCAAGGTTAGCTAACTAGGGTAAAGTTTCTGGTAGAGCAAGATACTATTTTTTCCTCCAGTCACCTAAAAAGTAAGACAGGTTTCTGTTGGGAGGGGAATATCAGGAGGCTTTAACGGAGAAAATCAGAATGTAGACTTGATTTCATGTCCTAATGAAACTAGTTCAAAAAATGAGTCAGAGAGACCAAGTGACTTGTACCTGTCTCAGGTGGCATGAAGTGGCAATCCAGTTCTCCTCACCAGAGTTCAGTGACACAGGTATCATGCCACGATTTGCTGGTTGTCAAAAGGGTGGCTTATGTATCTGACCTTTGGAAATGGGTGCTTTTACCAGAAACACTACTTCTCCCGGGAAGAAGTAGTTCATGAACCCTGTTCTAGTATCCCATGCATTTGCTCATCCATCCTCCCCTCACTGAACAAATATCCAATGAGTGCCTACTATGTGCAGCCATTGGCTGGATGTTGAGATACAATACTGGAATTCTATAAATATCAAGGATAAGTTAACCATAAATAATTCAGTGCTTATCTCACAGTAAAATGACAAGATAAATTAAAGACTAGAGTTAAATTCTGAAGTTATTATTTGTGGGTAAGGTATGTGTGTGTGGGGCGGGTATGTGCTCAATGCTTAATTTAATAAGCAACGCGAAGGCAGGGAGCATGCAGCTGAAGCTCTGCAAAGCACACCTCCACCACTGCTATTTACTTAATGAATACTCCTGGGCACTCTTTAAATTGAAAAGATGGTTCATTAGATTTGTGCATCTGCCCTTCTCAGCAATCTGTTGTGTTCTGTTGTGTTTCTGATGAAGGCAGAGAAAAACACGATATGTTATGAGTAACTCAGCTTCCAATGATTACAAAGTCATAAAGAGCTCAGGATGCCTAATTTGTCTGAATCATTCTCTTTCCATTCCTATCAAGTCTCTTCCTCCCCATCTTGAAGATTTCAAGTAACAGCCCTTAAAAAACCCAAATCACCTCATGCTATTTTCAAGCTATAAAAATATGCATATTTTTAAGATATCAAAAAATGAGTCCCTTCAAAAATGGCTCAAGAAATCATCTTCTTCTTGAGGGTTTCCCCTTTTGTCCTAATCAAGGCAATCACCACCTCCTCTGCGCTCCCTTCCACATTACACATTATATTCTGCAACCTGTCCCAGGGGCTGGGTACCTGTAGTGTGTGCCCATAAATAAGCTCTCGGAAAGCAAACATATTTTTTTGAAACTTTGGCTCTGGCTCAGTACCTGCTACATAGGAGATGCTAATGAAGTGTTGAACTAAATAGATGAAAGGTAAGTTTCCCTAAAGGGGCCTTCCACTATGAAAACAGACTTGCCACCCCTCAGCAAACATTTACTCAAGGACTCCTGGGTTCTAGCACCAGGAAGGACACACGAGGGGAGGCAGGGACACAAACAGGAGTGTGAAAATGTCCTGCCCTCGGAGAACACATAGCATGCTCCTCAGAGGCGGAGGGTGACAATCCTATGGAGATGCTCTCTGGAGGGAGCATCTGTTTTCAGACAGTGCCTCAGAGAATGAGCCATAGTCTCGAGAGGAGATGCAGAAGGGTCCTTTCACTTCTCTCATGAAGAAGCTGATACTCACAAATAGTAGAATGGTAAGTGGATTCTTCTCCGAAATCAGTCTTGGAAAAAACATGGCCAAGTAACCCAGGTTCATCATTCACTACCTCCAGTGGTGGCCTCTGTCCACCTGGCAGGACGCCAAGTGGTGAGAGGTAACTGATGTCTGCAGGCAGAGTAGCCTTGGCCCTTGTCCTCCAATCCCCTACAGAATTTGGCAATACGTCAGAAAATGCAGGATGGAAATTTAGCATTTCATTTTTATTCTGGGAATTTAGTTTTTTTCTGAAAAGTCAAGTGACCAAGATGGTGGGGAATATGTGAAAGACTGAATCTCAGTTCTGTTAAATCAACTCAGGAAAAATGCAAGTGAAAGGTGTTCTGTACGAGATGCTGGCTAACAGACTCATACACAGATGTGACTTTAGGCACTGCTGCTGTGCTCACCCGTGCTGAGGAACAGGGAGGGTAAGGATGCAACCGTCCTTGCCTTCAAGGTGCTGAGCAAGACACACCAATAAATAATCAAAATACAGCGACATAGGGGCCACAGAGGCAGGAGTAAAATATACAGACAGCCTATAAGAAACAATGCTCAACTATGCCTACGGAATGAAAAAAAAAAAAAAGATCATGCCTAATCATTATTGGTAGTAAAAAAGGAGTTTTCACATGACACTGTAGATACTTGTCAAATTAACTGATTTATAGACAATAAAGAGAAAAATCATTCATTCAACAAACATTTGATTGCCTACCTTGCATCAGAAATGGCTGGTTGCTGTTACTGAACTGTATAAATTTACATAGAAATGTGTATATCCTAACATCCCCAGATAGTTATTATTGGTCAATTAAATTGCAAAAATCCAGAATTTCACTAGATTCTGCTGCCCCAAAAGATAAGTGTGGCATACACCTGGTCCCTAAAAGCAGCAGCAACAGAATGCTCTGCTTCCTCCCCGACAGACAAGAAGACAACTGTGACAGAACGCTATACTCACTGGTGCCGGATCACTTTCATGTTGCCATGACGAAGAAGACTGCAAAGCCCCAAGCAGCCGTGAAAAGGATGGGAAAATCCCTACACAGACCTCAATGGTGTCAGATTCTCTCATGCCTCTTTCAGACGCATCCTCAAGCCTCAAAGGACCGATATTTTTAGTCAGAGTTTTCAGCATGTCGTGTAGAATAAATGTTTTCTTCTACACTTGGTAAAACAACTGGCTGGGTTTTGAGAACCTAACTTCCTGCCAGGCCCTGTCATGGTTCAATACTGCTGGAAACTCTATACATAGATTTTCTTTTGTCCTACAGACACAGGGGAAAACGCTCGCCCATAACATTTGCTCTTCAAGAAGCCTCCACTGCTGTTCTGAGCAGCCGCTCCTTTCTACACAGGAGACATGAGATACGAGATTATGCTTCCGGTTTTATGAGGCGCATTTATCATGAAGGGGAGTGAGCGAAGGTTATCATGCCTTGTTCTGCCCAGGAGCATCTTTCGTACAATGGAGGCAATCCGCCCGCTCCATCAGAACCCAATGTACAGCCTTCCCCAACTGCTGAGCTGGCTTATTCAAGCCTCTGATCCACACCTACCAGCAAGGTGAGGCTGTGTTCCGGCAGCATCCCATACTGCTGGACGAGCTTCTCCCGGGTCACACTGGGGAGCTCAGGGAGCTGCTCTCGAAGCTGGTCGATATTGATCACTTGCTGTGGGTCCGCGCCAGCAGGCAGAGAGGCTGAGTCGTAGAGTAGCAGGGGAGGCAGGTTGGGCTCGGGAATAAACCTAGGCAGAAAGGATACAGGGTCTGACACTGATGTATTTAGTTTGATAAGAAAAACCCAATTATCCATAGGAAAGTTTCTGTATAGAGAGGCCATGTCACCTGCATATATTTTCTATTATCTTACAATATCAACATTGGCCCCTTGTTTCCTGGAAACCAATCTGTGCACAAGTGTAAACCACAGCTAGAAACACCAACCCTGCTGATTTCCATGCTTATGAACTAGTGATGAGTGAAAAAGGCACAGCACTGTTCATGACATGCTGTGATGCATACTCGTGGATAAAGTATCTACCTATATATAAAAGCCTAATATGCAAAGTGTCCCCTCGGGAGTTCGACCAACTGGGAGTTCCATCACTCGCTATGATGTGTGCTTACCACCAGGGGGTGGCTCGAACGAAGGAAGGCCCTGGCCAGCAGCCAGCAGCAGGGGAAGGGAGGCCCCGGCTGGCAGCCGCTAGGGACCCTATCTGTGCACGAATTTCTGCACTGGGCCTCTAATATATTCATGAAGACATATGAGCAAACAAGAACAACTTATTAGGGAGAAAGATAGATGACTTCCCCCCTTTTAAAATTTTCACTATTTTTTGTAGTTGTGTAATTAATGAACAGTCAAAGAATAAGAAAACATTTTCTTGAGAAGCAGAAGCAATGAATGGAGGGGAGAGAGGGGAGGAGGGGTGAGTTAAGTACAGATAGGATTTTTAGGACAGTGAAACTATGTATGACACTGTAAGGGTGGATACATGTCTTTATACATTTGTCCAAAACCACAGAATGTCCAACATAAAGAGTGAACCCTAATGTAAACTATGAATTTTAGTTAATAATAAGGTATCAATTTCAGTTCATTGATTATAACAAATGTACCACATTCCATATATATGCAGAGAAAACTATGGGGGAAAGGACAAGTACATGGTATGTGGTACATATCATGGAACATACAGGAACTCTGTAATTCCATTCAACTCTGCAATAAACCTAAGACTGCTCTAAAAATTGTTAATTTTTTTAAAATGTGAAAGCTGCACCACTGCATATAATCCCTCTGTATTATTCCAGCATCGATCATTTTCTCTCTGCTTATACCTGTCAAAGGGTTTATGCAGATGCAGGAAACGCAGAACAAATGGTGACTCTGAGGTAACAGATTGAAGTGCAAGCAACCTGTCACCTTGATGCCAGATCTGTGCTATGAATCAATCCGACTTCTGAAGGTAAGAGGGACTCCTGTCTACTAACCTGGGGACTGAGCTGAAGCCACTAGCTAAACTCTAACTCTAGTCCATGCTCGGTCAGAAAGCAGCAGAAACAGAGTGGGGGCAACACTGGAAGACAAACGTTCTTGAGAAGAACAGACTGAACCCAGAAGGTCACAGTAATTAAAGCCATTCAGACACCATGAGAGGCGTCCTTGAGGTGAAGTTCACTCTAAGGGTTTATGAGCTGCTTCTTTCCCACATGACAACACACTTGTCCCTCACTGACAGCAGGAGCTGCTCTTACTACATCTTTCTGCACATAATGAAGGAGAGTGGGCTACCCTCAACAACTTTGATGTGTAAAACTTCAACCTTTGCAATCAGCTAAACTCAATGGGGAAATAAATTAAAGGTTTAAGTTAGCTTAAGCGTATCTTTATTTCTTGCTTTATTTCTGAATCTCATATTAAGTCCAACTTATCAATTAAACAGCATCACCTGAGGTTTGAAGGGAAATGCCAGGAGCATATACATCTCTTTTTTCATTTCTTCTCAAGGAACTTCAGTGCCTTATTGAACTTGTTACTGAATGTAGGAATAAGAACAGGCTAGGCCCCATCCTCAACTGCCATCTTCTGGGTTCAATCAGCAGCGGTGGGGAATGTCCAGCCCTCAAGGGCCATACAAGGGACGGGAAATCATTTGGTCTGGCCCTGCCAAGGCACAAGGGGTGAGTTAATTAAAGGTTTGACCAAATATAGCAAGCTAATTTTTAAGTTGGTAATTTTGCATGGCCTGTGAATGATGTTATAAATACCCAAATTGCCCTTGGCAGAAAAAAGGTTCCCCACCCCTGAATTATAGCAACTCTCGCACAGAAGTGAGGGAGCAAGCATCCTCCAATAGTTGAATCCTATCTAATAAGTCATTCCAAGGCAACCCAATTAAGAATCTATTCTTTCTCTCAGTATTCAATAAAAGAGGAAGTCTAGATTTTCCATCAGGCAACAATAACAAAAAGTGGTTCCTAAAAATTATTAGTGGATTTGAAATATGCCCCTAACCCCAAATACACAAAGATGTTTTGATAAGGGGAGTAATCACCTGTAGTCTTGCTTTCCTTCTTTGTCTCTCATCGGCACGGTGCATCTACGATAGTTAAGTAAGAAAACATTAAATGAATATTGCATGCGGCACTGGCTGGCACACACGCAGAGAGGGGATTCCCTGTCAATAAGGGGCACAGGCAGATTCAAGCTCTTCAGCTTTCCTTGGGAGACATTTTATGAATACATTAAAAATAATATTAAAAAAGAAAAATGTTTAGAATGCTAATTAAAAAAAAAGAAATTGCTTCAATGCTTCCAGCTTTTAACCAGCTCTAAGTCTAGGCTTTTGCACTTTGTTTGATCTTCTGCTAAAAGTATAAGACTGCAAAATTTCTGATTTAGAAAATTAAAGTCAATGTTATCTAAACAAAAAAAGGAACCTCCATGACCAGCTCTAAACTTTCTTCTACCTCTAGCTTAAATTGGTAGAGTTTTCGTCTGATAGAATTTGAGAAAATAAAAATTCTTGCCGCAAAGCAGGTAACCTGGAAGCAAGGGAAGAGCCAGGACCAAGGACTAAGCACTATGTAACTGGTTCAGTTTAAACCTTTTACCAGCCCTGCGGGGTGTATTATAACCTCGTAGGACACAGTATTTTCCTAACTTTACTAATGAGGAAATGGAACTGCAGAGAAGCTAAGCACCCTTTTCACAGTCACATGGCTGATCTGCGGTGAGCCCAGACTGGAGTCCCACCCAGCTGCACTCAAGACGTTTGTCAATGCAGACTCACCCCAGCTTGTAATCAAAGGAGCGAGTTTCATTCAGAATTTCTCCTCCATTCTCAAGTTCTTCGATTTGCCTCTGAATTTCATAGTCTAAGAAAAACACAGTAATTTAGTAACATATTTTTTTATTCCTTTCATCCAGCCAAGCAATATTTAAAAAACTTTTTAAATATTTAACAAAAAATAGTCAACAGAATCATATATAATAATTCTTCCTTTGTGCAACTCCCTCCTTATCCATGGTTTCACTCTCTGGTTTCAGATACCTGAATTCAACCACAGTCCAAGGTTAAATTTCCTCAGTCTCAGACAATGTGTGCTCCTGACATCCAACCATCAACATCATGACCCAGGATGACTCAAAGGGGAGGATTCTCCTTCTGATGTATCCTCAGAAGGTCAACAGTAGCCTAAGGCTACATCACAGTGCCTATGTCGTTCACCTCCTTCACTGCACTAGGCATTGTATCATCTCACATCATCACAAGTCAAGGGTGCGTACAGTACCGTATAAGATATTTTAAGAAAGACAGACTGACATCACATCCATATAACTTATCATAGTATAGTGTTATAATTATTCTATTTTAGTATTACTTATTATTGTTAATCTTACTGTGCCTAATCTATAAATTAAATCATAGATATGTATAGAAAAAAACATAGTATAGGGTTTGGGTACTATTCACAGCTACAGGCATCCATGGGGAGTCTTAGAATATATATCCCCTGTGGATAAGGGGGGGACTACTGTACACTGTATTTTCTTCTTGTTACCTTCATAGAATTATGGTGCTTAAAAGGGTCTTTTATTAAACTCTACTCTCTCCCTTTTTGAGAAAACTTGGGTTCAGAGAGATTAAATGACCCAGTGCAGGTTACACAGCTTGGTAGAAAAACCGCTGGGGCCACTATCTAGGCCCAGTGACCGCAGGTCTAGAACTGCTGCCTATCAAGAGTTCTTCCCTAGAATCCCCCGAGGCCACACAAGAAGGCCCAGGCTAGGCAAGCAAATGAAGAAAGACCAAGTGGATAGAGAAGCCTAGCATACATCCAGCACCAAGGCCCCAAAGGGCTGCCAGCTTCCACAGTCACATCAAGGAGCTGAGGCAGGACAGCAGCAAAACCACCCAGTGCACAAGTGCAAAAAACCATGGAAACTGAAAGTTACTATACAAGCCACTAAGGTTTGGGGTAGTTTGTTACACAGCAATAGATAATGGACACAGAGAGGTACAATTAGGAGTAACAGCTGACATTCACCTATTGCTTTGGCCAAGAACCTGGCACTGTTGAGATTCTTCACTTCAGTTCGAACACCCAAAGGCTCCCCAGGGCGATGCACAGATATATTGGCATCCACCCTCAACTGGCCCTCTGAAAAGAGAGAAAAAAAGACAATTCTTTAGAAATTCTCTGAGGTAACATGGTCTAAAAGGCAGGAAAGTGTCCAGGCAAGCAATATCTAACTCTACTTGCTTTTTAGTGATAGCAACCTAACCTTAGAGAAGGAACATTGGTTCTGAAGTACATGACTGGCACTTCAGTCTGCATAAGAGAATCCTGGCCCCAAAGCATCTCAAGTGTATGCATGTATATGTATGTATTTGTGTGCACTTGTGCACACGCAGAGAGAGGAGAAATTCTGGATACACCAGCTGGGGACATCTCATTCCTTTTGTGCCAAGTAAAAAAAACAACACTGTTAAAATGGAGATTTACTCAGCAGTTCTATTCTCAAGCTTTTTTCAAAATGTCAGAGCTAGTTTGTCGGGAAGGCCTCAGAAATGACTATCTGATAACCCTACATGCTCTCCAAAGGAATGGGGATTTCCAACAGTGATTCTGGGAGATTAATAAGAGAGTCCTTTAGAATTTACAGCTCAAGGGCGAGAGCAGAACTTGGGCATTTTCCCTCCTCCGGCACTGTAACAATCCCCTCCTTCCAGACAGGACTCTGAATCCTCTCTGGCTGTGGTAAGGATCTGCTGCAGTGGACAGAGCTGTTTAGACGCGGAGTCTGTTGTGAGACTCAGAGGGAGGTGTCCCCAACCTGGGAGGACCTTCTCTGACCCTGAAAGCCCCTTTAGATTAGGAGTAATAACCCAAAAGGAAGCAGGTGCTTTGTGGAGAGGACTAAGAGGCTCTTGAGGAGGAGAGGGAGGCAAAGTTCCAAGACAAATAGGGAGGTGAAGTTAAGAAACACTTAGGTCTTATACCCTACAAAGTAAAGCTCAAATTCTGTTTCCCAATTTCACTTACAATATTTAAAATGGGACAGAATAAGAAGACAAGATGCTGAATTTTTATTTTCGTAGGCAGGTTTTTAAATTGAAAAATAATCTGCCAAACCTAAGTGTTCTTATAGGCTGAATAAATAAATGAATTTTCCCAGATTCCATAGCAAATACATATTAAAATAATTAAATGGTGTGAATAAATTCCATGCCAAGAAAGGAGACCCTAGGGCAGTGATGGCAAACCTATGACACGCGTGTCAGAGGTGACACGCGAACTCATTTTTTTGGTTGATTTTTCTTTGTTAAATGGCATTTAAATATATAAAATAAATATCAAAAATATAAATCTTTGTTTTACTATGGTTGCAAATATCAAAAAATTTCTATATGTGACATGGCACCAGAGTTAAGTTAGGGTTTTTCAAAATGCTGACACGCCGAGCTCAAAAGGTTTGCCATCACTGCCCTAGGCACTGGTCTCTGTCACTGCCTCAGAGCTGGGCTGTGGGGCTCACTCTCCAAGCTGGAGACCAAGGGCAGGCTGCTGCTTGCCCAGCTCTTCACTCATTCCCACAGGAAAGCGAAGAGCTCACCCTCCCTGCTAATGCAACTCCCCGCATGCTGACAGTCAGGGTACAGGTGCCTTTCAGTTTGGAAATTACTCTATGTCTCCAGTCTGGACATCTCAAGACTTTTACAAAATCCTGTAGCTCCTTTTGGACAATTTGTGCTTACCCGAATCTCAAAAAGTTCCAACTATTCCTGACATCATCAGACTCTCTGTCTGGGGACCTTGAAGTCATCTTCTGCTTTTGTTTTCTTTGTCCTTTATATCCAAACTGATAACTAAATCCTATCAGTTCTTCCCTCCAAATATTCCTCATACCTGTCACTATCTCTCCATTTCCACTGTTGCCACCCCCGCCTGTGGCCTCGGGACTTCAAGCCCAGATGACAGAATCGCATCTAGACTTTTAACCCTTTGCACTCCGCTGTCCCCTCTCAGGGGACATCGGAGTTCTAGCATATCACTCGGATGTCCCCTCTCAGGGGACATTGCAGTTTATTAGTGATTACGGGGAATTGAGTTATTTCAACGCAACTTTTTGAGACATGCATGTTTCCCTGAAGTTTTATCTTGAAATGGCACAAGAAATTAAATCAAAATATCGTAAAATTACTAAGATATATACAAGAAATGTCAGCGGGTTTTGTGTCGGATTAAACAATAAACTATATATTCCCAATGTGGGACAAAGAAAACGGGACTGCATTGTGTGTTCTAACAGGAAAACACCTGGTGGCAGGCGTCAAACCACTTATTACTGTCAAACATGCACTAATCAGCCTGCAATGCATAGTGGGGAGTGTTACAAAACTTATCATACTGTACAAAATTATAAACAATAAAATATTGGTTTTTTTGCAAATATACATTCCTCGATGTCACCCAATTCATATAAGTCCAATATCATTATAATACGTTACTTGGTTCCAAAATTATACTAAATAATACGAGGGTCTGTAAATGCACGTTTCCGCCGCAAAGTAGCGTCGAGTAGCTGGTAGCCAATGTCCAGAATGGTTCGGAGTGCAAAGGGTTAATACAGCAACCAACCCCTCAACCCCTCCTTGTCCAGCCACCTGGGTACAGCTCTGACTTTCATCCTCCCACAAAGTCATGTTCAGCATTCCCTTTGTTTGCTCAAGTGCACAGCCAGCTCCTATTGGATCGACTCATCTCCTCTGCTTGGTATTCAAGAGCCCTCATCTGGTCTTGGCTGACACTACCCACATTTCCCCACTAGGCATTCCATGAGAAAGCTCTCCTCCAATCAGGGGAGCTCTCTTCATACAAGTCCCTGTCTGCACCGCTGGCTCCCACGCACTCTCTTCATCAGTGTGACTGTCCCTTTTTCAACCTCTGCTCATCCTTCAAGGTCCCACTTAAGTGTTACCACCTTCTCCTCCTTAAAACCCCTTATCAATAAGCTGGCCTCCACTGCTGGCTCCCCTGCATTATTAGAAGGTACACAACCAATACTACAGGATCTAGCACATGTCTACAGTGTATTTTGAACTAATCTTATCTTTAAGACCAGAATGGCAGGCCTTTGAAAAATGGGCCCAGCTTTTATATCCCCACCACTCTTGCCTTCCCAAGCACATCACTCTTTCAGTCACCTCCTTCTCACATCAGTCATTAACCTCCCTTTCTCAGCACTACTTCTGATATATACATATGTAATATTTTTCATTAAAAAAACAAAACCCAAAACCAAAGCCCTGCTCTCCTGAACCCAATTCTCTCTCTGTCATTCAGCTACCATTTCTCTACTTTCCTTTCAACAAATCGTCGCAAACAAGTTTTGTTTGTTGCACTTATTGTCTCCATGATCTCACCTTCCATTTACTTCTAAACCCAGCTCAGCTTGGCTTCTATCTCCTCCTCTGGGAAAATGCCTACACAAAGTCACCAACAACCTCCTGCCGCCAAATCCAGTGGACAAAGGACATGTTCTCTCTTCTCCTTATGGGATACCTCAGCCACACATGACATACTGACTAATCCTTCCTTCCTGAAATAGCATCCTCTCTCAGCTCCTGCGGCCTTAAGCGCTCTCGATTTCCCTCCGGCCACCCTGGGAGACTCCATTTCCACTTTATTTGCTAGTGCTTTCTTTCCCATTCAAACTCTTAGGACTGTCTTCTTTGCTTATATTCTTGCTGTAGGGGTATATGTTTTATATACCATCTATTGCTGATGACTCCTAAATTGATCTCCTCAGCCCAGAACTCTATTCGGAGCTCCTCATTGATATCCAAAGTCTACTTGACACCTTTACTTGGAGGTCTCAAAGGTATTTCAATTTCTGAAACTAAATCCTGACTTGCCCCCCAAACCCACAAAAGCCATTCTTGTCCTCACTTTTGCAATTTCAATAAATAGCACCACCACCTAGCTCAGTGATGGCGAACCTTTTGAGCTCGGCGTGTCATTGTCAGCATTTTGAAAAACCCTAACTTAACTCTGGTGCTGTGTCACATATAGAAATTTTTTGATATTTGCAACCATAGTACAACAAAGATTTATATTTTTGATATTTATTTTATATATTTAAATGCCATTTAACAAAGAAAAATCAACCAAAAAAATGAGTTCGCGTGTCACCTCTGACACGCGTGTCATAGGTTCGCCATCACTGACCTAGCTCCTCAGTCTTCCTAAAAGGCATCTTTGATTTCTTCTTGTCCCTTGGCTTCCATACCAGCCTGTTAACAAATCCTCTTATTTCAAAAAACCATCTTGAACCTATCTGTCTTGATCTTTTCATTTTTACTGATAGCAGTCCTGTCCACAAAAGCATCATCTTCCATCTGAATGATGACAAAAGCTTTTTACCTGGTCTTGCTTCCTCTTACCCTTCTGAGTCTACTTTCCACAAAGCAGACAGAGTGTTTTTTCTAAAATGTTACATAGACTAAGACTAAGTCATTCCCTTGCTTCAAAGCCCTTTGAGGGCTTCCCACTGCACTTGCAATGAAACCCAAACAACTTCCTGACATTACCGGTAATCTATCCCAAGCCTCACTTGATGCTGCATTCGCCTGCTCATTATGCTTTCCCTGCAGTGGCTGTTAACTATGCTAACTCCGAGCATATCCTGAGATTTTTCTCATGCAGGGACTTTGCCTTAGAGTTTTCCTAGAATGCTCATTCCCTCCCTCTATGCTGCCTGGGCTTGGACTCATTCTTCAGGTCTCAAATAAATGTTGCCTCCCCTGAGAGGCCTTCAATTTCCTTGACACCCTATTTATTTCCTTAATGCACTTATCACTATAATTGCTTTTGTTTTATTTGTTAATGAATTTTCCTCCCTCATGAACATAAACTTGTGAATATCGTTTGCATGGCTATATTCAGAACCCAGAGCTGGGTCTGGAACATAGTAATTGTTCAATAAATTAATACCTTATTGAACAAGCCAAAACTATGGTGTTTTCCTGAGCAATGAGTAAGTGGACTGGTTACTGTCTCACAGCAGGTTCCTGATAAATTCTAAAGTTGCGTCTAAGTAGGACTAAATTACAGCTGGAATAATCTGAAAGGCCCATGTAGCTCAAAGGAAAACTTCCACAGTATGCTGAGCTCTACTCAACCAAATTTCAATACTTGAGAGACAACTTTGTTGGAACTCAGGGAACCCTGAATTGGACCTCACTTGCTTTTAAGAACGAAACCATCTTTCACAATTTAGAACTCTAATTTGGAAATGGAATAAAAGCATGAATTTCCGTCTCTCCCAGAGATGACCACGCTATAGAAAAGTCTGAGAGGAATCACTTAGTATCCTGCAGTGTTGAAAGAGCATTCCCTAGCCTGGATTCAAATATGGCATCAAACATTAACAAAAGACATTCTATCCAGTGAAGACAAAATACCTTTCAAACAAATTAAGTTAAATCGCCTCAAGTGCACAAAAGCCTTACCAGTCAGGTTCTGCAACACCAAGGGAGGGCCTTTATTCACATATCATGAGAATGCTATCAAGCTCAATTTCTACCCTCTAGAAGTAGAGATTTGTAACAGCAAAGCCAAAGAACTACACCACTGAGCACAGTGATATGGTACAGTTACATTATTTTTTCCTGAAACACATTCGCACATCAGAAATATAACATCAGGACAGAAAGCTGTTTCTGTAAGCAGCAGGGGCCTGAGGATTTAGTGAGAAGTCTATTAAACTATCTCATTCTGATCACTGAATACTCTCCAGAACTTAAATAACCAGGTTCGACAATGAGAAAAAGTGACCACATTTCACAAAGTGTATTCATCTAAAATGAGCGGTGATTCTGTAAAAGTAACACTACTTACTATGGTTAAAAATACCTAAGATAGTGAGCACAGGCTATTTGTCGGGGCCTGTGATAAGTTTTATACACATTATCACATTCATTCCCTACAATCTAGTTCAATGACAAAGCCACTTAGACACCCTTTAGGCATTTCAAACTTAACATTCAAAATGATTTTCTCTCACAAAATTACTCCTCTCCCAATTGTCCCTGTCTCAGTAAATCATCTCCCTGTCTCAGGGACACCATCCAGCTGCCCCAACTAACTGAAGACTTGGATGGTTTTTTTGTTCTTTGGTTTCTTCCTTTCCCTTTCCATACACAATTATTTGAGAACTCATTTTCTAAGTGTGGAAAGTGAGGTTCAGAGAAATCAAATACCTTGCCAGGTTCCTACAGCCAGAAGTGGTAGGACAGGATTCCATTCCAGATCTGGGACCTTAGTGCCATTAGCACCCATGGTACCCATGCTCTACTATACTATCTTTCAAAGTTATCTATGGCAATTATGATAGACTAGAGGCCTGGTGCACAAATTCCTGCACCAGTGGGGTCCCTCAACCTGGCCTGCGGGATTGGGCCGAAACTGGATCTCCGACATCCCTCAAGGGGTCGGATTGCGAGAGGGTGCAGGCCAGGCGGAGGGACTCCACTGGTACACAATTGGGGCCAGGGAGGGATGCGGGAGGTTGACCAGCGGGGGAGGGACTGCAGGAGGGCTCCAAGGCATGTCTGGCCGGACTCACTCAGTCCCGATCTTCCGGATCCCAGCAGCAAGCTAACCTACCGGTTGGAGCATCTGCCCCCTGGTAGTCAGTGCACGTCATAGAGAGCGGTTGAGTGGCCTTAGCATATCATTAGTATATTATGCTTTGATTGGTTGAACGGACGACGGAACACTTAGCATATTAAGCTTTTATTATATGGGATAGCTATCTGTTGTGGTTGCCACTAGGAGGCAGTGTGATCAGTGTTTAAAGAAAAGGCTCCTGGAGTCAGACATACCTGGGCTCAAATCCTAGCTCAGTCACTTGTTGTGAGCTTTGGGCAAATAACCCAACCTCCTTAAGCCTCACTTTCCTCACCTGTACAACGGGCATAAAAACATCTCTCAGGAATTGTCATAAAGTTTAAATGAGATAAATGAGTTTTTAAAATGCTTAGTGAACCAATGAGCACATGCCACATGTTCAAACTGAACAATATTATTACCACTGAAACATTTTGTATGTCTACATAGGTACAAATTCAACTCAACAGACTGTTTTGAAGATCTCACAGTGGCAGACAGCCCTGAGAAAGAAATGACTTTTGGAACCCAGGCTGAGCTGGTCTATGCTCATCAGCAAAACTATCAGGAACTCATTGAATCACAGCCCAGAGGAATTTAAGAGTCATTCCCAAAGCACCCTGGGGACCACTGGTCCTCCCCAGAGTAGCCCTCAGTTCCTAGGCTGCAGTCTCCAGTGCCAACACAGTGGTCCCATGGTGGTGAGAGCAAAGGGGTCGGGGCTGACCCCTGCAGATGCTACAGACTTTGGACCCTCCCCACAGCACTTTGGGACCACCACAGCCACTCTGCTGCTGTGCTGTGGGAAAAACTTTGGTTTTTTTAAAAGCAACAAAAAATATCACACCAAATGCCATTTAATGAATCCTCTCAGCTGTCACTGAATTGATGCGTTCTTGCCGATACGGTTTATCTCTTGGCAAGGACCCAGATGGGGTTACTTCTTAGCTAATAGGTGGCCTGTTTATTATTCCATAAGTTTGGTAGAAATCAGTTATTTTGAAGAAGAATGGAATAAAAACTTTTTTTTAAAGCAACAGAGAATTAACACTTAGCACATGAATGAATAACCATCCAACCTGCCCATATTTCACTTATGTTCTGTGGGTAAAAGCAGCATGAGCCATAAATCTAAAATGGAGAGTTTTATTATTCTAAAACAAAGCCTTGTTTCTCTAAAGCAAACTTGCAGGCAGCTAACCTTTAAGCCACTCACTCATGTGGCTAGTGTTTTTCCAATCATTAGCTTAAGGAAGATAGCAAATAGGCAAGTTCTATCTTCAGATTCAACTTGTACCAGGGCTCTGATGTAACAATTTATTGCTTGTAAGATGTCCTATGTGACAAATGTGGCATTACAAATTCAGAAGTCTTTTTTTGTAGAATACAACTATATTGCATGACATGAAAAGGTTGGTAAACAGCATCACAAATTGGCAGGGAGACGAATCATCACTATCAGAGGTATTTACGGGCACTCACTGTGACCACTCGTGTTGGCTGATGTTACGTCAACTTGACTGGGTCATGGGGTACCCAGATATTTGGTTAAACATTATTCTGGGTGTGTCTGCGAGGGTGCTTCTAGATGAATCCACAGACTGAGTAAAGCAGACTGCTTCCCCACTGTGGGTGGGTGCCATTCAATTCATGGGAGGCATAAACAGAACAAAAGGCAGAGTGGGGGGATTTAGTCTCTCTGCCTGACTGCCTTTGAGCTGGGATATTGGTCTCCTGCCGTTGGACTTGGCTCAGACTGGAACTTACAGCATCAGCTCTCCGAGGGTCCTCAGGCCTGTGGACCTGAACTGGACTGCACTATCCGCTCCCCTGGAGCTTGCGCTCTTGCAAGAACTCTCCCGCAGCTTCCTGACTAGATCTTGGAACTTCTCAGCCTCCATGATCATGTGAACCAGTTCCTTACAATAAATGTCATTAGATACAAACACACATGCGTAACATACTAGTACACACATTCCACTGGTCCTGTTTCTCTGGAGAACACTACTACACCACTGCAGTGATCTCAGATGAACAACTGTACATGCAGAATCTGTTTCCCCTCTCCACTCTGTAAGGGAGTGCTCTGTGGGTGGCAGAAGATTTTTAAAAAGCCTCTGGGAACAGAAAATAGGAAGAAAACCACGGGAAAGACTAGCTTTCAGGGACTTCCGGGCCAGCAAAGTAGCACGAGGAAGGGGCCAAGGGAGCAAGCCATGAAGAAACTGAACTTGACAGGAACTTGTAATCTTATGTCAAATGTACAAATACTTAAAATGCAGAGTTTGTTTGGTCCCAAGGATACAAGTGGGTTTTCTTGTTTACCTTAATTTCTATTGAATTGAAGATTTTATCTCAAAGTTAAAGTTTAGTGAAATCATAACCTTGGCTTATAGTTTATATAATTTGGCTTCAGCTGCACATGGATGAAAATTCTCCAGAAGCAAGAAAAGAAAGACCAAAAGAAAAGGCATCAACTAACAAAGAAGTGCCACCCACACAGCTCTCACAAACTGAGTTATTCTGGATAAACAGTGTCTTCTCACTGAGAAAGGTGAAACCATCCAAACACATTATTTCACCAACCCTCACAACATTCTGATGCATGAAGCCAGACAGAGCATCTACTCTTATGACTCCTAATCTCACACGGTTGGAACCAGGGCCTCTGTACCCTTGTTGTTAGTGTGTTTAGGGGGTTCAGAAAAGAATCCCAGGAAAATTCTAAAAACAAACAAAACAATTAGGAATGTAAAAAGCTGGAAAAAGGATGTAAACCACCTCAAAGCAGCTGATGGAGAATAAAACTTAAGCGCAGAGACCCGAGAAGCAGAAAGGGGGGAGCTATAGGAGGGACACTGCTTGTGAGCTTGTACCTGCCATGTTTGCCTGGCTGGTCCCCAGGGCTTGAAGTATCAGCTGCAGCTCCCTGACAGCTGTTGCTGCCTCTTCTCCACAGGACATATCGGGCTCCAGGACCACTTCCAGAAGGCCCACTCCTACCAATGAGAGGCAGAGTCAGCCTGACTGAGCTCTCCAATCTGATCAGCAGATAAATTAGGCTGAAATCTTTGGAAAACCATGCATCACTGAAGGACTCTCAAAGTGGGTCCTAGCCTCGGAATTGCTTCTCTCTCTTCCCTCACTTTTTAATCTTTAACTTTGGATCATTTCTTTTAAAGTCAGCTTAAGATATCAAGCTGTTGGGTCTGACGAGGCGGCTACGTTTGTCTCGTGTTAGGGGTGGATTGTCAGCAAGCCCAATAGTAATCACAGTTCTCTAATCACCTGTGTTGGTACCAATGTGGATATTCTGATCTCCACCTGTCAGGCTTCTGGGCCTGTGTCCTCAATTTGTTTGGGAAAACTGGAGGGGAGAGGGGAGACTGTGAGGAAAACTAATGGAGAATCTCTAAGCCTACCAGCCCTGTTCAAGTCAATGAGCGTCTGGGATCGCAGGTCATCGTGAAGGCTCTTGCCACTGTCTTGCTCCAGCTGGATCTGCTTGATCCTCACTGTCTTGTTGATCACCTGATTCCGCTTCTTCCCCACACAGATGCTATACGCCAAGCTGCCCTTCACAGCAATTGGGAGCCTCTGCTGGGTAATTTGGTAGCCTGCCTGCACACAAACAGGGGTTACAGAGTCACCAGTCCACAAGTAAAAGCTGGGTCCAGTTCACTATTCCTTTTAAGGTCACAAAACTAAAGGTTTACCTAAAAACACAACATAACAAATGTTGTTATGGGGTGGGTCCACAACATTAGTAACAAAGAAACAGAATTTCCAGAGGATGAGGCCCAGAATTCAGGATTTTAAAAAGATTCTCAGGTGATTCTAATGTGCAGCCAAGGTTGAGAACCACTGTGCTAAAGAGACAGCAGGTCAATAGGGAGAACTGGAGAAGAACAGAGAGTAACAGCTGAAGCGTCTGCTTCAGCTTGCTGGGGTCCCTGACACTGTGTTCTCAGTACCGTACACCTCTTAATCTTCACAACAATCCTAGCAAGAGGTTCAGGGCCTGGAAGGGATTAAGGGCCTTGCCCCAAGTCACCGAGCTAATAAGCATCAATGTCAGGATTTGAACTTGGATGGTCTGGCTCTATAGTCTGTGTTCCTAGCCACCCAGCCAGCATTTTCCAAATTTGAGCTGCTTCAGAATCAAATGGCAGGCTGGTCAAAACATAGACTAGCTCCACCTGAAGAGTTTCTGACTCTGCAGGTTGGGGATGGTACCTGAGAATTTATATTTCTAACAAGTTCCTAGGAAATGCTGATGCTAGTGGTCCGGGGAACCACACTTTCAGAATCACTGCTTTAGGCCAACTCATTCTCTGTGCAAAAAGGAAGTAAGGAAGTCTCAATTTATAAAAATTAAACTCTGAGTAGGGCTGCCAAATAAAATACAGGATGCTTAAATTCAAATTAGAATAATTTAAATAAACTGCTTATTCAGATAAATAATGAATTTTTTAAAGAGTATGTCCATGTAATATTTGACAAGACTAACTCTGGACCATCTGAGCTGCCTGGGCCAGAAAGAATAAAAAGACACACATAACCAAAACTTCTCATTTTAGTCCCATAGTGCTAAGTCCCCCACCTTAACCAAACTGATTATCACTCTTAAAAATGTAAAAATGTCAGTTCACGCTCTCCATCCTCTGAAAGAGGAGGATCTGCTAAAAGGCTGCAGCCAGAGGGTCCAAGCAGCAGCTGGAGAATTCAGGTTCTAGTTGTATTTTTTATTTAATTCTCCCGTTCTCATGCACTAAAAACCAGCTCACCCCAGTCTCCAGTTCAAGGAGAATGGGAAGCAATATCCTCACCCCCATTTTTTTTTTAATCTGAAGAAGGGCCATACTTAGTATCAGAGGCTCCGATCAAATAAACATGATTTGGGGAAACCCATTCAACAATGCAGTTTTGGTTCTGTTCAATGTTATAAAAAAACCTGGCTTCTCTAAAAGAAAAACACTTTCTAATTTTAAGGAAAAAGCAGGTTAACATTGGCTTTACTGCTCAGCCAATTCCTGTTGTGAGTCTAGGCTTCAGGCGCATGGTTCTGCTTTCTGTCGTCCACTTACTTGCTCCTTGTGAGATGACAGAAATGTCTCCAAAGGTGACGGTCCTATTATTGGGAACTTCAACTTGAAAGAGGGAAGCTCTCGCTGTGTCTACAGAACTACAGTACACATTTACCGCATTTACCGTTGCATCAGCCCCAGAGTTAGCTTTTGTCCTAACAGGCAATTAGCGCCAAACACCACGGCTGGGCTGAGCCTGGGAACACTGGCTTCTTCTACTCCCCGTTCAATTATGAGCGAGCCTCCAGAAGCATGAGGCTAAGCAAGGAGTCAGCAATCAGGACAATTGCATCCAATCTAGTAAACATCGGGGGGCACCTGCCTTCATCAGGTCGGGCAGACCTTCCTGCTGCGATGGACAGACCTCTGATGGGAAACATGTGAGGCACAGCCCGCCTCCCCTGCTCCAACCCCCCCAGCTCTGAGAACTTACAGAAGGCGATCACAAAGCATACTTACAGGGAGGTCTGCATAGAAGTAGTGCTTCCTGTCAAACAAGGACTTCTTGTTTATGTGGCAGTTCAGTGCCAGGCCTGTCATCACTGCCGCCTCTACACACCTCCTGTTGAGAACCTATGGAAACACGACACACAGCTCCTCTCAGATCCAGTCTGAACAAATGCTTCTCCCACACACTGACATCCTCCCTGAATATTCAATTTGGCCCTTCAACAGGCATTCTCTCTGGTTCTCTGTGTGGGCAGCTCCACTTCATAAGCTGACTCTGTTAGTCTGGAACCGTGAAAACTTTATATATAAAAGAAAATGCAGCCCTAACCGGTTTGGCTCAGTGGATAGAGCGTCAGCCTGCGGACTCAAGGGTCCCAGGTTCGACTCCGGTCAAGGGCATGTACCTTGGTTGCGGGCACATCCCCAGTAGGGAGTGTGCAGGAGGCAGCTGATCGATGTTTCTCTCTCATCGATGTTTCTAACTCTCTATCCCTCTCCCTTCCTCTCTGTAAGAAAATCAATAAAATATATTTTTTAAAAAAGAAAGAAAATGCTTGTGGCGGTGGGTTCCACTGGGCAGGTAATGAGCTGCCACCTTGGGGATCCTTTCCTCTACATCTGGCATCAAAGTCAACAGGAGGGTCCCAGAAAAGCTCAGCAGAGTGGTTACTACATGGGATAAATTTAACCTCACTCCCTCTGCAAGCAGAGCAAGGAGCCGGTCAGAATGCAGGGGACGCACTGATTCCTGGGAGAAGGACCCAAGAAGCAGCTCACCAAACAACCTGCATGAGATTGAAACACACTTTGACAGATGAACTTCCGGAAACTACAGGGCTACAGCCATTTCCTCAAGGTCTGGGAAAGGGGCACACCTGCCTCCAGTCCAGATCTGCCAACTCTGAGTGTGCCCTACACCCCGACTCTCTCCGAACTGCTGGTCCCCCCAGGGGCTCCTGGAGCTCAGGGCCTCTGGATCCGCCCTGCCCCACCTACAGGTGTGGATGTCCAAGAAATGGCAACTCCCTAGCCCCAAAGGACATGAACAGCTTTTAAGAACTTTGGAGAAGGGAGGGATGGAGTAAGACAGACAACTAGAGAGAAGGAGAAGGAGCACTAAGTTCTGGAGCCAGGCCCACATCCCACCTGTGCTATGTGGATATACTGCTGTGACTAGAAGCTATTTCCTCATCTCTGAAACAGAGATTTCATGTGAGCTTGTGGAGTGGCTAGAGTAACAGCCAGAACATCTACTCTACAGTAGGAATTCAATTTTAGTTCATTTTCCCCACTGTACTTTGGGGAAATTTTTGAGGATACTGTGCTTGCTGATGAAACATTTCTATTTTTATTAGAATATTTATCATGTGCTTTAGTATCTGTAGTATACTCTTATGCATATAGGGCTTCCCAGTTCAGCATTTTCACATCCAACACAGTATTCCAGCCTCACAGCAACCATGTAAAGAAGGAACTTATATTATTCCAATATTTCAGAAGAAGAAAAAGTAAGACCCAGAGATACTAAGAGACTCACCCAAAATCACCGAGTTGGTAAAGCTTGCTCTAAAGTCCAACCTGTGCCCTTGCCTAGAGGGTGACAAACAATCCCTGTGTTTTGGGGACTGCCTCTCCGGGCTTGGACAATGAGTGAGGCTCCCCGACAAAGGCATAACTTGTTGATCAAACACAGATTTGAAAAACAAACCTGTACATCTCTACTTACTGCAATATACAACCCCCAAAAGATAATCCCAACAGCCAATCTCCCTCCTGGTAACACCACCACATGCCTTTCCCCCTGGAAGCCAGGTAACAGAATGGAGTCAGCCATCTCATAGCCTCTATTTGGAGTTCTGCATTCTGGGCCAAATCATATTGCCAGCTCGGCACTAATAATGGTTTTCACGAGAAGATGTGTGAGTGTGGGAAACAGGATGCTCTAATTATTGATGTTTTCACTTGCTGTTTGGCATTTTACTGAACAGTTGTTACTGTAATACAAATATAACTGGTAGACACTGCTGCCAAGTTCAGGCCTGATGATTCCGGTCAAGGCACACAAGACTGCGAAGCTGATGTCCCTGCCTCAGGCCCTAGCGTGGGCTTGCTTGTAAACTGCCTGTCTCGCTAGTCTGTACCAGTTCTTGCCTTAGCACTCCACTCCCACTATATTTCCAACTACTGCTTCCTCTCTCATCTCTGTCCAATCTGCCCCTTTGGGTCCAACCTGCTTCCTCCCAGGAAAGAAGAAAACCTGGGTTTATTTTGCTTGCCTATTTCTAGGCATACATTGCCAATAAACTCTCTGTGCCTGGCAGGCACTAGGAGAGAGAGCAGAGTTGGGGTGATCATGGACTCCTGCTGTGCCTACGTGCAACTGAGCACACAGGCACATGATAAACCATTAATTTCCAAAGAATAAGAATGCAGTAAAACACACAAACATTGCAGTGATATTGACTATACTTTAATCTGCTTCTGATGATTTAGAAGGCTTGAAGTATTTCAGGGTCAGAATTATAAGCATCAATCATCACCACACTACAGTTGCACAGAGGGGCTAGTAAATAGAGAGTGCCAGTTAAAAGAATGCCAACCAAAAATAATTTATTATGATCTTAGTCAAGCTGCTTATGACAGATGGAGGTCTAGGTCAGCATGTTCTGAGGATAGGATGCAGAATTGGGAAATTCAACTTGGGCTGTTTTTATTCTACAACAGTTCTTAAATGTCTAAAAAGTATTAGGCTTCAAGGATACAGAAGTAAATAGGGCTCTGTCACTGGCCTTAATAAATCTGCAGTGGGGACAGGAACCTGCCAACATCTCTAACATCCTTCTCAAGTTCACCATCCACACAAGGATGATTCTGCTAAAATGCAAATCTTATAGCATTCTGTTGCCTAAAATCACTCAACAGCCCCCAATGTCTACACGAGAAAGGCCAAGCTCTTACATGATCCTGCCTGCATCTTCAATTTCATCCCCAATCACACCCCTACACACCCACACATATGGTCCAGTTCCCCTGTACAAACCATGCTGACCTGCTGACCCTCCCTATTCTTAATCCATTCAAGATCTACTGAGATGTCACCAAATCTCTGAAACTTTCCTTATATTCTTCCCAGGTACCGCTCTGACCTTCCACACCTTTCCATTTGTGTTTGCATCAGGGTCCATTGAACTTGTTTACATATATTTCCATTACACTAAGTTTCATGAGAATGGGAACTGTCTGTTCATCCGGTATCCCTGAAGCCCAATACAGAACTAAAAAATAGTGGTGCTCAATTAATAGGTGTGAAACTCACATGAGGAGGGAGGTGATGGATATTAACAGAAGTTTTCAGAGAGGCAGCAATACCTGAATCTCCTCTACGGTATTACCTGCCACAAAGGTCTTACCTGCCTCAAACTTGATTCAGGAAGTGCCCTGAAGCAACAACCAATCATGTATGATGTGATTAAAGAGGTGACTTGAAAATTCAAAAGACTAACTTGTCCTGAAGAAAGCACGGTCCAGAATTGTCTTTGCAATTGAAATAAGGTGACTACAAAGGATCTCGGGATTAGCACAGCAGCCTTCATGTGGAAGGAAAGCAATGAACCTTGGAACTCACACAACACACCTTTCTCAACTGAGCCTTAGGAGACTTTGCTCTGGCTGCAGAAACACAGTGCAGTGCATGAGTATTTATTATGCTCATGCACTGCACTGTGTCAGCAGGTGTGCTATGCACATCACATACCTTTTGCCGTTTAATCCTCGGAGCAATCCTAGGGCAGACACTATTATGATCCTCATCTTATAGATAGTGATGGGAATCATAGAGATTAAGTCATTTGGCCAAAATGACACTTATAATAAGAGGCAGAGCCAGGAAGTAAGAGCCCCATAACTCAGGCTAGTACATTCCATCTTAAATCTTCAAAGAATAAAGAGTTCTAGTGTTAGCTTTCAAGACTACTAACACCTGGTCATAACTCTGGAGCAGCAACACAAACCAAACCCTACTGGAGAAAAGTTAAGGTAGGTATTGTTTCTAACATTTTTTCTTGCCAGTTTCTATCTCTATAGGTTTGTTTTCAGATGGTGAGCACCTAGAGGGCAAACACTGTGTTCTTTTAACTTTGCAGAACACTCAACATACAGTGTCTAGCATGTGAAGGTTTGATAATGTGTGGACCTACAGGCTTTCTCCATTAGGAGGGAATGTTTTATTGCTAGACTTCTGAAATCCCTAGACACATACGCTCATGAAATGCCTTATCAAATAAGTAAATGGCTTCAAGCATACAGAAAGAGGCCAGTTCTTTTATTTAATCAGAAGATAAGGAAGGTCTGATAGGTAGAGGCAGGAGATGAGACAGTCAATAAATTTCATGACTACAGAGACAGACTGGGCAGATCCTGGTCAGGAAAAGGATATGAGGGTGGATGTCCCACCACTACCCTAGTCTAGTCCTCCTCAGCTCCCACGTGCTCTGCTAAGCATTATCTCCCCAGCCAGACTGAGCTCCCTGAGGGCAGTCATTTTATCTTATTATTCTTTGCCCCATTATCTACATCTGATTAACTGAGGTAATGGATAATTTAACATTCCCTTTATCAACATTCATAAGCTATGAAATGAAAGCAAAATTGTTCTATAAAATATATGTGTCAGGAAAAAGAAACCACTTAGTATGTAAAATAGGACACATTTAATGCAGAGACTTTACCCTGGTGATAGAAGAGATGAGACATCAGAGGGCACAGGGAGGCCACTTAGGAGATTCTCAACAGCAGGAAGCCAGTCCTACCCCAGGGCTGAGGACGGGGCACTCAGAGGACACTGGACACATGGTAGATTTGTCATCTACTAGCTGGAGCCCTGGTAGAGGCCCACCCACTACCACAGATGTTGTCAGAGGAGAAGAGGAGAGGAGAAAGACCCTGTAGCTGCTTTCCTCCCACCTTCAGTCTTTCATCAGATCCTGCTCTTGGCCTCACCAGTCAGAAGCCGGTAACCTGGGAACTAGAAACTGGAGGTGGAGGTGGAGAGTGCGCAGATGCAACAGGGACCAGAGCATTCTGAGCCCATAAAGATATCAAAAGATAAATACTGGGAAGCGACT